CAGTACGGCACCTCCAGGCTAATCACCACTGCCCTGTACGACAAGATCATGGCGCAAGAGGAGCACCTCCATGATGCTCTTGCCTGTGTCCGCAGGGCCAAGAGTCAGGCTCGCTCTGAGGCCAGAGAGGCAATGAAGATAGCTGCCGATACGTTCCGCACCGAGCACAGCGAGCTCGATCTCGCTATCAGTCTGGCAGAGGAGAAGGGAGCATCAAGCTGGCTCACCTGCCGACCCATCGCTCGCCATGGCTTCGCTTTGTCGAAGGGGGAATTCCGGGATGGCCTCTGCCTCCGTTAAGGTTGGACGCCTTCTCGCCTGCCCACCACCTGTGTTTGCGAGAAGGCATTCACCACTGCTCACGCCTTGTCCTGTCCTTTCGGTGGGTTCCCCTCGATCCGCCACAACGAGGTGCACGACATACTGGCAAGCTCATTGAAGGGTGTCGCCGACAACGTCGCAGTGGAGCCACATCTCCAACCCCTGACTGGGGAGTTTCAGCTCCGGTCAGCATCAACCGAGCATCAAGCTCGTTTGGATGTGGTGGCCAGTGGAGTTGGGGGGGGGGGGGGGGGGGGTTGGTTGGTTGGTTGGTTTTTATTTCACTTCGCACATTCAAACGGGATGACGACCCAATAAAATGACGGCGAAGGCTTAGCCTAGAAGTGGCTATGGAAGAACATAGTAAAAGCTATGGAAGCGGGTCGGTTCGAACGCACTTTTATTGATGTACGGGTGTTCAACCCGTATGCGTCTTCGAACCGCACCTCCTCTCTCTCTCTCTCTGCCTGCTACCGGCACCACGAGCAAGAGAAACGGCGTCGATACGATCGGAGAGTCCGAGAAGTGGAGCGATCCACTTTTCTCCCCTTTGTGCTCTCTTCCACCGGAGGATGCGGCAAGGGTGCCGCTGCACTGGTGAGCCGGATTGCACATCTCCAGTCGCTACGTGGGAGGGAGGCGTATTCTGTGCTAATTGCCCACCTCCGCTGTAGGCTGTCTTTCGCCCTCCTGCGTTCGAGTGTCATGTGTCTGCGTGGGGCTCGCCGAGTTTGGCAGCCTCCAATGGATGGCTGTGCCTCCCTGGCTGTCGTGGAGGCTACAGTACAGTAGGGTGTCCCGTTGAGCCTTGGCCTGCGGACTATGCTAATTGCTACTACTACTACTTGACACAATCTTTATTAGGAAACTTGAAATGGAGATGTGAAACACAAATACAGCCATGTAGATGGAGCAGCAATGCAATACAATGTCCAAAAACTCAAAAATTCATTATCATGGGACAATGTTGGGCAAATGTCTGTGAGGTACTGTCACGCTCAGGCTGCCCGCAACCTGCACGCGCAACCTGCACATACTACTACTACTACTACTACTACTACCACTACTACTACTACTACTACTACTACTACTACTACTACTACTGTACTAGTACTAGTATGCTTCTCTTGCTCTCTGATCACATGTGACGTCATCATTATGTGATTTGTTTTCAATCCTCCGCCATGGCAAATACTTAGGGACCATCGCAAAAGTTCGCAGAAGCCCCTGAAACGAAGAGCATACGTTTGGGGGGGGAGGGAGTCGTGTCGAAAATCGCAAACCGGGCTTCAATTCAAAAAAGTATTGACGACATGTAGGAGCTGATATAGATTAGCATGCCATCACAGCCGGCGTAGATCGCTTGTCAGGACGCGTAGTCCATTCATGCAACTGCGCGTGTCGCGTAGCTGGCTGCCTGTACACTGTGTGTAGTCTAGTACCAAGAGTCCATAAAACGCGTGGTTTATGAATTATGGACTCTTGCTCAGGGGTTCATAGGGTTTATGAACCCCTGCTGTGTAGTTATTATAATAATTATTATGTGTGCAGCATCCAAGTGAAATAATGAAGCCCATATTGTGACTGTCGTTTCGTTTGAGGGGGGAGGGAGGGGGGTCAGGCCCGAAACTCACGGTCTTCGTTTCGGGGGCTTCGGCGAACTTTTGCGATAATTGTGTTTTGTTCGCCCGTAAAAGAGGCTTTATTAATTTTATTTAAAAAATAAAAAATAAAAGGTACAGTGTAACCACTGGTAACTGGTTGGAGTCAAAAGTCCAATACAAACTACAGTAGGGTGTTCGGTGCCTCGAACCCAGGCGCATTTTGAGTGGAAACAGTTTTGTACGGGGTTCGTGGCACGATCGTACATCACTGTGCTTATTGCCTTGGCAAGGTAAAATTTTAGCAGCTCAGGACGAGTTTGTTTCTTTGTTGGAAAGAGGAGATGTCTCTGCTGTTGAGACCGTAAGTCCCGTTTCCACACGACGAATTTTAGCAATGTTACGCCCTGCGCAACTTCAGGGTATCGATTTCGGCCTGTTCTGGGCCGGTCGCAACGCCGACGACCATTCCATCGTCTTCAGCGTCGAAAAACTACGCAGTGTGTGAAATTTGGAGGCTCTACGATGCTGTGTTCTTGTTCTATGAGAGATCGATTTGCGCCAGGATACCAAATGTGCGGAGTACATGTACATGTACATGGAGTTGATGGACTTGGCTGTAGTGCTGTTTATTTGTAGTTTCGCTGAGCTACCACATCAGATAAATCTGGTCGCTGTATCATATAGGAGAGTGGATAAAGCCATTGTGCAGACAAATTGGTCAAGAACAGATTTCCTGCCAATACTGCGTTCAATCATGATGCAGCTGAAAATCTGACACTCTGAGGATTTGCAAAATTGCAGCGCGCTAGCACAGTGCAGCTACGCAATGCCGTGTCTGGAGTACATTGTCATCCACATAGCATGGGCAATGTAGGGCCAGTGTATTTGTCGACTTTATAATTTACATCCAAATTACGCTTGCACGATCATCCGATAAATGAACTGTCTGTTGATAGTGCAAATCGTATGAATGAATAACATGTGACGTGCGACACCAATTGCCCCGAAGTGCTGCACGCGTCGTATATGACTGGGAACAAGTTGTCCTTCTAAAGCTGATGATTAGCAGGACTGCTGCTGCCTTGGCCTGGCTGAAGCTTACATCGTGTTGCAATGGTGCAGCATACCTGTTAATTGGCTGCATGCATCCGGTCCCGCGGCGCAACATGCCCGGGTGCGGGTGCCGTCTCGGCTGAGTGCGTATGTTATTTTCTTAGATGCTTCATCTACATGGGGTAGATAACTGTAATCTCCTCCTGGTGATGCGTCTTTGTAGTACCCGTATTCCAATTAGCTTCAGCCTGTGAAGGGTTACATCTTTCGCATTTATTTCGACTAATTTGTATGCGTTGCTATGGTGGTTGCTATGGGCGTAATTTGAATTTGGCTAGATGGAATACCAAAAAAAATGGTGAAGTGATGGAAGCTCTCTATTGGCTATCATCTGTGAAAATTTGAAAGACCCTGAACGAAATTGATTTTCACCTTGTTCTAGTTGGTTTTGAATTTCCCGGTTTTGTGCCACTGGCCTGCATCAAAACTGTTCCAGCAAAAGTGCCAACAAGCGCACTTCAAACGATCATAACTCTTGAACGTCTGGTCGGATTTAGACAAACCTTATATATTTCCCGGCTAGTTTATCCTACTCTTTCCAATGAGACTAAAATCGAGGAGATCGGAGCAACTTCAGGGCTCACAGTCGGTATGCAGGATCGACAAAAGCGTCGTGCGAGGGCGGGTTTGGTGCACGTGAGTCGCGTGACCCCACGAGAGCACGATCGTGTACATCCTACGCATCCCAACAGAACAAAGAAGAGAAAGAACCTTGGCTTGAGTAGCCTGTTCTTGTCTTGCAGAGCCGATGTTCGCGATATTTTGGTCGGACCTGTCCTTTCCTCGCCTTCTCTTGGCATGCAGTGTCAAACCATTCTCGTTTCCGTTCGTCTCGATCTTGTGCTTTTACGATCGTGCATACTCCAGTGGAAATAGTTTGCTTTATTATTTGCACTGGGAATTGCACTGCAACACTGAACAGTTACTGCCAGCCCTCGGCAACGACTTGCCTTTCACTGTGCCTTGTAGAATTGGTCCACCGAAGGAGAAGGCGACAGGCAACCTGTGCTAGTCCCAGGAAATTCATGTCATGTAGCCGCTGTTCGACCAAATGCTGATGCTACAATGAGCGATCGCGATGTTCCACAGGTAAGAAGACAAACAAACGAGTCAGAGCTCGCCAGGCAGGTAACGCCGAGAACATACCACACAGAGCTGCTGATCGGATGGAGGCGAACGGGACCAGCAAATCCGCCAGGCGTTAGTTGAGGGCCACTGAAGGCCAGGTTTCCAGAGGTACCAGTTCCTCCATGATGGCGAAATGCGCTGCCACAAGAACTCCAGCGAGAACGAAAGCACAGCAACCAACTCCGCGGGCGAACTGAGGAGAGAACACTGAAAAATCTGTGCGCAATGATTTTCTGTTGGACGGCGCGCGCGTTGCTGTTCCGCTGCATGCATGCGTTTTTCTTGTTGTTTGATCTGGTGCTGCTTTTGCACTTTTGGCGTTCTGCGCGCTGAGTGGCACTCACTCAAAAATGTCCACTACATCTCATTCTTGGCGGATTTTGATCATCTATGGCTTATTTTTTTCAGCGTGGAATTCTCCAGACATTTACCGATCACTTTTCCGATTGCTGTGCCGAAATCGAAGCCAAAACGACCAGACTTTGGCTAATCCGTGCCGGAAAACTGGAGGGAAAATGGTGAAACGCTGCGGTAGATCACTGAGTTTGGGGGTTTTGAATCAGCATAGCGAATCCCAGCTTCGTGGACATCAGGGCCGATGTAGTGGACTAGATCAAAGATTTGAGAATAGAGGAGAATAGAGGCCTGTGATTGGTCAGTTGTCATCACGTGACATCCGCGCAAAGCCGTGCGCGACTCGACGCTTTTGTATTGGACTGTGAGCCCTGAACTTTCAAAATCGTCCGAACACCCTAACTACAGACAGTACAGTAGATCTACTCGGTCTACCGTAGATCTACGGTAGTATCAAGAGTACATAACCCCGTGTACTCTTGGTAGTATGAATCATCAGGTAATTGTTTTTAAAATAAATAGGATGTGACTGTGGCTTTTGTGGACTGCCCGCGATATTTATTGAGGACAGACTTGTACTCCTCATGTCTCCTCATGACTCAAAGTAGTTGCCGGAGTCGGCGAAGGGCAGCTCAGTAGAGAGGGGAGCTAGAGGACGGTGATCAATCAACAAATTTGTGTGAAACAACGACCCATTGTGTTTGAAAAAAGAAACACCAATGTAACGGGTCCGGGTAAGCGGTAGACCGTGAGCTGGCATGCAATTGAGGCGTTTGCCGTGGAGGTTTGCGCGCCTGGTTCTGCTCCTGTGTGTGGTGTCGCCTCTGCTGATCTATACTGCTGGCTATTTATCGTTCCGCTCCGTCAAGCAGAGTCCTGGAAATGGCCTTGCCAGAGACACAGATAATCATGCCACTAACAAACAATCCCAGATTCCTGGCGGCACGACTGAATCTGCGTCTTTGAAGGCACCCCTGGTTCTCTCTACGGATCAGCAATACCAAAATTTGCAGAAAATAAGGAGCCCAGCTCCAGGAACAAATGATAAGGATGGGTTAGGCGCTACAACTGCTCCAGTGTATTCGTCGCGTATCCATGCCTTCTACTACCCTTGGTATGCCTCTCCAGCCATAGAGGGAAAGTATCTGCATTGGAACCATCGTATTCTGCCGTTCTGGGGCGATAAAGAGGCCGTTAAGAAGCCGCCGCATTATCACACACCCCCTGGCGACATCGGAGCGCAGTTTTACCCCCAGCTAGGTATCTATAGCTCTCGCTCGCTGGCTGTTATCAGTGCACACATGAAGCAAATGAAAGCCGCTGGGGTTGGAGTTGCTGCGGTCAGTTGGTATCCACCAAAGTTGGCTGACGACAACGGAAAGCCGAGTGACGATGTCATTCCGATGCTTTTAAAGGCCGGCCATGAGCATGGTGTGAGCATTGCATTTCACCTGGAACCTTACGAACCGCGTAGTGCCAAAGACGTATACAATGACCTCAAGTACATCATTGACACCTACGGCCAGCATCCGGCATTCTACCGCACTCGCCTATCTGCGGGCACGCCAAGCCGTCCGATTGTTTATGCGTACGATTCTTACAAGATCCCAACTGACCAATGGAAAGCGTTGCTGACTGAAGGTGGTGCCATGTCGATCCGTGCTAGCAAGTATGATTGTCTAATGGTGGGACTTGTTGTGAACAAGAATGACCTAGAGAAACTGCATGCGGCTGGATTCGATGGATCCTACACTTACTTCGCCAGCAAGACGTTCACGTTTGGCTCGAACCCGGAGAACTGGAAGTGGCTGAACGAGCTCTCAGCCAAGCTGAACATGCTGTTCATTCCCAGTATAGGCCCTGGCTATGATGATACGGCCATTAGGCCGTGGAACGCCGACACTCGCCAAGTTCGTGCTGGCGGTAAGTACTACAGGGATATGATCTCGGCTGTTCTGGAGTTGGACATCGAGGCAATCTCCATTACCTCTTTCAACGAGTGGGGCGAAGGAACTCAGATCGAGTCGGCCGTTCCGTACACGTTCATTAATCCACATGGCTCCAACCGTGTCTACTCAGATTACCAGCCACTCGCGCCGGACGGCTATCTCAAAATCACGAAGGAAGACCTAAATCATTTTGTTCCTGCTAGACTCTTCTGAGTTGGACCATGGCATGCTCGGTGCTGTGCTGTACTAAGTTCTCATCACGCCCAGGCAGGTTTAATTTAGACCTGTGGGCATACCAGCAAGGTAGATCTATGATTTTATTTTATCCCATCGAATTACTGTGCAGTATACAGTCGTGGCAAGCGAAATCCGACACTTGCCATAGGGGACAGCGCCACAAATGGACATTAATGATGTAATGCACTGCACCTAATTAAGTAGAATAGAGCCGTATGCATCCCAATCAGTTCGAAAGGTCACAGCGTAGATACACACAGTTCACGGACATGGTACACACAAGGAGAATTGGTATTCAGTCCCTTTCACTTTGCCAGCACCTTGAACTTTGACTGTGAACCTTGAGTGTGATGAGTATGAGTTCTGTCATTTTTTGTTTTTACTTTGTTTTTATGCCAGCTGTCGGATTTCACTTGCCACGACTAGCGACTGTACAATTACAATGTGTTGTAGTTGTTAAAAATTCGACGAGGAGACAATAATTTTAATATGGCAATAAGTAGGACGAGCTGAAGCGACATGTGGACTACTTTATTAATAAAGTAGTCCACATGTCGCTTCAGCTCGTCCTACTTATTGCCATGTTGTAGTTGTTTTATTTTTATTTGTATTTAACAGCCCCTTGTACGGGCAATAATCGTGATGATGATGACTCTAGAACACGCAGAAATAAGAACTTTGTGCTAAAAGAAGAAAAGAAAATAAGAACTGTATAGTGCAAGATGTTTGTACTGAAAATAAGTTCGTCCAATCTTTCATACAACATGCCCGTGCTGCCCGTGTCCTAATGAAAGTTTTGTTTAGGGTACATGTAGCCAAAATTAATAGTGTGAAGAAGAGGTTGGTGCGACTTAGGCGATACTTGGGGAATTGTGTGTCGCTTCCTACTTGGGGCTCACGCTCTTCCTACCGACTTGACTGACTCACGACTGCCGTGCAGAGCACACGAAAAGTCCATCGAACCTTCCACTCGGCAAACCTGCAAGAAAGCCCCACTAGTCTCCCTGCTCAGAAGGTTTGCCGAGTGGAAGGTTCGATGGACTTCTCGTGTGCTCTGGATGGCAGCTGTGAGTCAGTCGAATTTAAATTCAAGTCGGCAAGAAAAGCGCGAGCTCCCACGTAGGGCGCGACACACTATTCCTCAAAACCAAAATAATTGGTCGAACGATTGGTTTGTGTCCCCTATAGATGCCTGGAGCAAGAAGTGAATGACCATTGATTATAGTAAGCTAGCGGTACCGCTGTATGGGCATAACCAGTATGCCGCTCTGAAAATATCGAATTTTCCGATTTTACGGGCCATAGGGCCTATTTTATTAGGTAGCTTTACATGTACTGGTAGCCCAACATCATGCTGTACATGTAGCTCCTGCAGATACTGTGGAGGAGGTAAATCTACATCTGTATACAACAATTTAAAAGTTTCCAGCCTTGAAGTTTCCACCCAATCTTCCATAACCTTCGCAGACAGTGTGTTCCGCATAAAATTCAGTGTGACCATGATGAGATAACAAAATCTGTCCGAAGACTTTCCTGTCTTGCAGCTGCAATGTCAAGCCACGCCCTTACTGAGCAGGATATAATTATTATTATTATTTAAAAAGGGGTATTTGGGCAAATTCCTACTGTGAAGCCTCGTTTCCCTTTTGGAAATACCAGTAGACCATGGTAGACTTCAATCCAAAAATTAAAAAAAATTGTGCACAAGGATGGCTTTTCATTCTACAACTTTAGTACTTCAGTTAGCTGTCAAGTCATATACAGTAATAGAACTACAAGACTTGTAGTACAGTAGTCTGTAGAGATACAAGGTAAAAAAATACCTAGTACAACAAGCCGCCCTATATACGGTACATGTAGCGCCTATAGGCTATAGGCTATAATGCAGTTCATGCTGATTCGTACAAATACAAAATAGCAAGAGTACAATACTGCTGCTATTTTGTACTTATTACCGTATGTAGAGGACAGATGGAATCTTTCGTAACCTTTTGTTCGGGGCAAGCCACCATGTACCACAACTCAAATTCCCGCTGCCGTAAATACCCGGTACAGTGTGCTTGTTCGAAGTAGCACAAATTTGATTTCTGGTGGTTTACCCAGAAAAATGGGCCAGAATACATTTGGTCCTGACATGAAGCTTCACGCAAGAAGGGTCCAAGGTTCAAACAGATCTTGCGAAACCTTTTTTATTTTTTGTCTCACTGACACTTGACAGATGGAAAGGAGAGAAAGTTATCGTGTTTCTCATCGTACAAGTACGCAGTGTTGGCTTATACTCTTTTTCCATTTCTATCAACACGTATAAAAATTCACGGCGCAAAAGAGGAAGAAGTGAATGTTTTTACCAATGCTGGAAACATGGCAACGCCGCTAGTCCTGCACAACACTGATGACGGAGCACAACGGAGAAGATAGCGGTGAGATATGGAAGAATGTGGAAAAAGGGGACACACAACTGGCTGCTCAGTACTGCTGGCTCGGTTAGAGCATAGCCGAGATGGAAAAACAAGGAGGAGAATGTGTTAAACTGGCAAACCGGGAATAGAAGAAAGGTGATTGCCCGAAAGGAAAACAAAAGCATGCATACACTATCGCCCATCAATATGGATATGTGAACACACCATGGAGTGGTACTTCCACAATTGAGAATGCTCAGCACAACAGGAGGAATGGCAATGAGATGGTCAGTATGGTTGAAGAGAGCAGTAGGATTATGGGCAGTGAGTTATATGGACCAGCCAATGAAAACAAGTAGAATAGAACAAATAGATAATATTATTGGAACATGGAATGTGTAGATTTGAAACATGCGAAACCTTGTCAAACTTGTATTATTGCGAGCTTGGTTAGTAGATCTGGATTTAGCACAGCATAGTTGATAAGATCTGAGTTTTGTGTATAATAAACATAGTAATGATATCACCGGGAAGTAAGTGAGAGCAAGGAAAGGAAGTTACGTTAGAATGACGAATGGAAGTCCGTGGATACTCACAACTCAGCACGATCAGCGTCATTCGGATAGGCAAACACATACACACACACACACACACACACACACACACACACACACACACACACACACACACACACACACACACACACACAGATACATGACATGTGCAGATAGGAATGCTGAACACAGGAGTTTGACAGAAGAGAAACTGCATGTCACGTTAACACTATGATCATTCTTTGCCCTGACCGGGGAGAGCACGGTACTGAGTGACAGCAGAAAGCGACAGATCATTCTGACTATGATAGCAGCCATCACAATGGTCGCTGGAATGGTGACAACATCTGCTGGAAAGATGTCATGAATCACACATTGAAAAGGAGCCGCAGGTCCTGCAGAGTAAGCTTCTTGGCTGCGGTCTTAGAGCTGCAGCATCAACACGTACAGAAAGCAACAACAAAAAACACGGAAAAAGAAAATGACAACTGCTGCACACAAAGTTGATGAAGACAGCAACAGTGACTCTCACACCCATCCACCAAAAGGAGAGTTCATTGACCTCTACTTCCTCCGCATCATTAAAATTGTCGCTTTCCCAGAGCGATTTTTTCTAGTCTATTTTGTCCACTCGGAGCGAAGAAATCAGCTAGAACTTGAAGCAAAGCATTGTCGACGGACTAAGCTTGAGTTTGTGGCCTATCGATTCGCTGCACTTGCGGCTGGGGTCGACATCTCCATCAGAATTTGAGGCAGACCCTTCAGCACACAACAAGACGCAAACAAGAAGCGCGTTCAAATGCAGGTCATGCAACTTCGTTTTCAAGTGATCCATGCCTCCAGGTGGCAGGCGACGACGGCAAACTAGTATTTTTTGAATGCACAGTAACGATCTTCCAGGAAGATAGGGTAAGCAGTTCCGCAACTTCTTTCCTTGACAAGCTCTTTGCTGATTTTGTTCGTGTTTTCAGACCTGCCACCTTCGCAGCAACACACGCGACATGTACCGTACTGGCAATATATGTTGCCGCAGTGAGGCCATGAAGCGTTACATTGGCACATGTTTGCCGCACGCAGGGCGTTACATGCAAAGTCGCACAGGAGCCGTTACACAGGTTTCTATATTGCCGCAGTCCTTTTTTTGCTATTGCCGCATCACTTTTTTTGCTATTGCCGCATCATTTTTTTGCTATTGCCGCATCATATTTTGCAAACTGCAATGAAAAGATCGCCGCACCCCGCCGGACGCGCGTTACGAACTCAACGAAAATTTGTCGCACTAGCCTGGTCGCGCGTTACACCGCACCCTGCGTTACGCGTTACGCGGCAACATATATTGCCAGTCGGGTAGTCTTTTTTTTTTAGGAAATTGAGAACACATTGTTCTTGCCTCGTCAAGTTAAGCATTTGAGAAATACCAGGTTTCTTATACCGGAGCTTGCAGTCTTGACAAATGTCCACGCGAACGATGTGGGCCGGCACGAATTCCAGAAAAAGATTCTTTTCTCACTCACAAGTCAGTACTATATACACACCTGCACACACACACACACACACACACACACCTACACACACCTACACACACCTACACACACCTTTGATGCCCATCGCCAGAGGCGATGATAGCAATGCTACGGCAGAAGCCATAGCAACTTGTGCTGGGATTGCACCATTCAACAGCTTGCAAGGCTGAAGAATTGACCGTCACTATTCAGCCTGGTCTACACCATACAGCTTTTTGAAGTGACTTTTTCTGGCCAGTGAATCCCTATTTTTGGTCTTTTTTTGGTCTTTTTTTTCCCACGCACACATCACACCACATACTCCGGCATGCACTGGCTGTTGGTAACCACCCAGGAGAATGAAACTGAAAGAAAAGTCAGGAAGAGTCTGAGAAAGAGAAGAAAGACGTGTGTGACCATAATCGTCGGGAATCGAACCCGCAACCTATCGATTGGAAATCCCTGCACATACCACTGCACCATATGGGACACACACACCTACACACCTACACACACACACACACACACACAAACTCTCTCTCTCGCGCTCTCTCTCTCTCTCTCACACACACACACACACTCATCACAGAATAAACAACTGCGGGGACAGACACATCTTTTGTTTTCTTGCTTTGTAAGCGCAGGGATCGATTTATCCGGGTTCGCATCGCAGTTTGCGAATCAAAATTCACTGGCTGCGATTCGCTTTTCGTTTTTTATCGCCCAAAACTGCGATGCACTGGCCATGCATACCGGTATGTACAAAGACCATTCTGTACTGTTTGTGCGCAGTTTGCATGCGACTGTTGTACACACTGCTGACTAGGGAGTAGTATTTTACTACTCCAACCAACTGGCCTATCCTGCTCAGGCCACGCACGGGTCGCGGATCGCGCTCTGTTTGATTTTGGACACTGCATTAGCCCTGCTATAGCACTGGTCGACCGGTCGTACAAGACTGCACAGTCTGCAGTCTTTTGAAGTTTTGTACACGGCGGCGACTTTCCCTGAAGTTCTCCTCTCTTCTTCACCGTCAAGCTCAATTCAGTTTGTTTCTGTTCGACAAGATACAGTTGAAGTAGATGGTTCTTAGTCTCATGTAGCCAACATGTCAGTGAATCTGATCACTGTCCAGAAGCGGGAAAAAGAACTGGATGCGCCAGGAGTGTCGATTCGTTTCGATGAAGAAAAGTAGAAAAGCGAAAATTCTGTGCGCTTTGAACGAAGTGTCACGATCGTTTGAGCGCTTTCCTGAGCTTTCTTTGTGGAAGGAATCAGTGGAACTGCCCTGTTGAAGGACATTGTGTTGTGAAGAACTCGAAGTCGGATGGATGCTGAACATGTAACAAGCCCAAACGAAAACCCTAACGTAGAATATTCAGGTCAACCGTTCGTTTGGAAAAGCAAATAGCAACTGCAGCTATTGTACAAAATCCTGCTATTGTACAGATATATGTAAACTTTCGATGAAGGAAAACTGCTAATCAATACTGGGAGTTGCTAGTCAATTGTAAAACTGTGTAGCAGTGACTGCTATGCCAAAAAATCAAAGTAAATCGATCCCTGAAGCTGGTTGCCTTTTTTCTGGACTCCCTTGATTTCATCATTCGTTGCGTCGTACCTGCCTTTCTGTTATACCTCCAAGGAAATCCAAGGCCCCTCGGCAGCGCAGCTGGTACCTCCAAGGAGAAAATCCAAGGCCCCTCGGCAGCGCAGCTGAGCGTGGAGCTCAATGCAATGAGGGAGAAGTTTGAGGCGGAAAAGGAAGAGAGCGCCCTGAGAATCAGGCTCCTCAAGGGACAGCTGGAACGGGGAAACGAGTCGTCCTCGTCCAAGCGTAAACGTCGTAATGTTTCTGTATCGTCGTCGTCTTCATCGTCTTCGTTATCATCTTCGTCATCGTCCCCGTCATCAGATTCGTCTGACTTGTCGGACGACTCCCGCCGGAAGAGAAAAACCAAAAATTCCAAAAATCGAAGAAGTCACGAAGATCCTCCACCTCGATGTCAGTGCGAAAGTGGAAGACAAGATCTTATGAAGTGCAGCACGGCCTGAATGAGCAGCTGCAACGTCAACTCAAGAGAACCAGGCGGGACCTGCGGAAGCTGAAGGGTGGCCAGAGTCTCTCTAAGAGGCTCAGAAGAGGTGAGTCGTTGCTGTCTGCTAGACAAGAATGGTTGGTGGTGGCGGATGTGCATGGCCACGAGGCGGCCAGCAGGTTTCAAGAGGGGGGTGAGCTGGTCGACATCATGTCGTCCTCCGAAAAGTCGAAAAAGCTAATCGCTGCGATTCAAAGCACGAAGCAAAGAGCCCCCACTGTTAATGTTAGGCAGCCCTTTCGTGGCAGTGCCCTAGCCACCTCGTCCAGGAGCTGGGGCAATTCCCCAATCCCCTTCACGCCGGGCGTCACAGCAACCCCTGCCCCAGCAGTTCCCCCAGACCTCCCAGGGCTGTGTGCCACTGCTGCGGCAGCGCTGACCACTTCGTCAGATTCTGCACCCAAACCATCTCTGCCCCCGCTGCTAGAAAATAAGCCTGCTGTTGTTACACCAATTCATTCCGATGAAGATGTTGATTCTTATTTGATGGAGGCTGATGGTGGGTGGGATGTGCGTGAAGTTGGTGTTCAAGATGTTCAAGTAGGTAGCCTAGCTAAATGTATGCAATTTTGGCGCATGATGGGGGCACCTAGGTTTATTCAAACCATAGTACTGCATGGATACGCACTGCCCTTCATAGAGGTCCCGCGTGCAAGAGAATTTGCAAACCACCGCAGTGCATGCGAGAATGCCGAGTTTGTTTGTGACTCGGTGGAAAGTCTGAACCAGGGTTGCATTCAAGAAGTAAAAAGGGATGATGTTGTAGTCACCAGTCCGTTAGGCGTTGTGAACAACGGCAAGAAGCTACGACTCAGTGGACTTGAGGTATGTAAACAAGCATTTGCAAAACTTTAAGTTCAAGCTCGAGGACATGAAGGTCGTGGCAAATGTGTACTCTCAGGGAGATTATTTGGTAATGTTCGATTTGAAGAGTGGGTACCATCATATTGAAATTGCGAAGGCGTATTGGAAGTACTTAGGTTTCTCCTGGGTGGGGAAGGGGGGTAATTGCAGGCGATTCGTTTTCTGTGTTCTGCCCTTCGGTCTATCCACTGCCCCATACATTTTCACGAAGGTAACCCGTGTCTTACTCAGACACTGGTGGAGGGACGGCATCAGATGCCAGCTTTACATGGATGACGGGTCGGGTGGGCACTCTACGGTCGAGGGTGCACGGGCAGTGGCAAAAAGATTGAAATCAGATCTAGTTCAGGCCGGATTTGTTCCAAACGAAAATAAGTGCCACTGGGAGCCCTCACAGACGGTAGAAATGCTTGGCATGGAAGTCGACATGAGGGAAGGGATCATACGGGCCACTAAGGGAAGGGTGGAAAAGCTGAAGACGTTTGTAGAAAAGCGGTCACAGGTCGAATATCCAAATGCCAGACAGTTGGCCAGGCTTACGGGGTATTTGCTATCTATGTCGCTGGCAATAGGCCCCGTTTGCAGGTTGAGGACGAGGTCATTTTATGCACTGATTATGAACCGTGAGTCGTGGCATGGAAAACTCACCACGGCTTCCGTAGCAAATAGACATTGTGTAGGAAGGGTCGTAGCAATGTTCGAACACAGAAAACAGCGATTCCGACAGACCGACTAAGACAAGCAAGTCGCAAACATTGCGATGTGCGAAGCGACAATTTCAATGACGCGGAGGAAGTAATACTATTGAACGTAGTCATAACTCGTAACATCTTGTTCTTCTTCTTTTCTAACACTATTACACAATATTTGCAAAAAAATCCGGCCAATGCTGCATGCATCGTAGCCGAGTACCATGTGCAGCACTGGCCGTATTTTTTGGCGAGTATTATATATGATGTACATGAGCTTCAGCAGGAGCAGTAGCAGAATTAACAGTTAACATACCCTGACAATACACCCTCGGCCAGAGCTAGCTTCTTGTTCTGCAGGTCGATGATGCGCTTCTCAATCGTGTCCGCCGTCAAAAACCTATGCGGCACACAACAACGTAGGGTTGATTCGCATCATCAGACTGCAATACCTCGACGTATGAGCAGTGCGCCAGTGCAAACCATACAAAATGGCAATAACAGGTGTATACTGGACCATAGACCCCGCATGCACGGGCTATTCTGCGTTCAACACAACTGAAGTCTTGCACTGAGTGCATTGAATGTAGTGAATGTAATGACTGTAGTGAACGTGCACTTCAGCAGGACACATGGGATACGGCTGTACCACTCCCAGTCTGAAGCCAGTCAGATAGCATAGTACGCAGGGATGAATTTATCCGGTATCGCATCGCAGTTTGCGATTCAAAATCGATCGAGTGCGACTCAAAAATCACAGCGACTCGCAGGAAACTGCGATGCATAAACGGCACTGCATACTAGCTCGCGCTGTCAGTAAAAGTGATGCTGTGACTATGTCGTACACTCACTACACCTGTACAGTGCACGGACCCCGCTTTTTTCTCTGGAAGGTGTGATTTCTAGTACATGTACCTGTGAACTGTGGCTGGCTCCGCGTGCACATACTGACTGTACTGGTGTCCTACTTGAACTACACGTACCACTTTGTGCGGCTTTCATTCAGTAAGTAAGTTCAGTAAGTTCATGTACATGTACTTTCCGTACTGACAAGCATCATCTTTCCTCCACGATAACTGGCGGAGGTCTTGTTGTTTGTTTTCTTCTTTCTGGTTCACTTACCTCTTTTCGTGATATTATAGCTTTCTGCTTGTAGCCAGTCGGTCTTTCTGGTCGTGAGGAACTTTTGGAATCACGTTCGTCCTTCTCTCTGACAATTATCCAAGCTGTAGTTTTTCTCTAGTCTGGTTCTGCCTCCAACATGTCTGTACGACAGAGTACCTTTGAGAAGTGGGTGGCAGAGGTCGATGTCCAGAAGAAATGGCTTGGTTCTGAGAAAGCTACAGGTACCTAGGTGCAGCGGTGACGCTAATTTTCTGCTAGGTATGCAGACAGCACGAGTACTCCCTCCGTGGACTGAGAAATTTTAGTCGGTCTTCGTGGAAGAAAAAGTGCTAATCAAAAATCAAGGACTGCTACGCATTTTGGCGTTTGCGTCGCGAAAACTGCTATGCAAAAAAATGACAGTAAATTCATCCCTGGTACGGATACCACTATACCAGTTGTCTGAAATTCCTCAAAGTCACTTAGAAGTTAGAACTGATAGATGTGCCTGGCCCTCGAGCACAAACCATGACTTACTTGTGGACAACCACATCGCGCGTCTGCCCCATTCGATACACGCGGTCAAATGCTTGCTGCTCTTGAGCAGGGTTCCTGGTTAGAGGGAGCCATGTACATATACACACGCACGCATAGAGAGAAAGCAAATTAGAAGGCTTCCCTGCACATGACTCAGGCGTGATAATAGAACTCGTGCCAGGAACAGATGGCTGGTTAGTTGATAATAGAACTCGTGCCAGGAACAGATGGCTGGTTAGTTGATGAAAACACATATTATTAGTACTAGTACGCAGCTGTTTTGAAAGGAAGCTTTGTCTATCTAATCCATTGGTTTGAAGAGTGCAACCTTGGAAATCCGACCGCCATCACTCGAGACTAGCCCGAACGGCCTGATTTCCGAAGCGGTTTGGTTTGTGAAAATGACCATCCCGAGGCTGGCGACCGTACATTGCACATGGCTGGACTTGAAAACAGGATACCAGGAGATCAGAGACAAGGGAACTGTACATGAATAACCAAATATGCCTGGCCTTTTCCGTCGGATTTTACAACTGACAGCATGGAGCTGAATAGTAGACGTGTTTTCGAGGCATGTAATGCGTACCAGGTCAGCGCTAACACAAGAGCAGAAGCGAGCAGCCAACTTACCAGTGCACATCCATCAGGAAGAGATGATTGCCTCCGATCAAGTTCAAGCCGACACCGCCCGCTCGCAATGACAGCAGCATGATCTGCTCGGCGTGCAGCGCAAAACAAATAGTCACCGTTCATCAGTGTAGTACACGTGCTAAGAAACTTATAGATGACTGTGCCGATGAACTCGTACATGTAGAACAGGTGCTAATGAACTCAAATATGTGCTAAGGAATTCATACATGTACTTGAAGTACTGCATGTGTTCAATCTGCGGACAAAACTGTGTCGTCCTTCGTGGACTCATCAGCGCAGCACAGAGAAAATGAGGCCGAACCTGATAGCAATGAAAATAAAATTTCCAAAGCCAGTAGTACACGCGCTAATGAATTCATACATGCAGCACATGTGCAAATGAACACATACATGTACTGCATGTGGCAACCAGTGAAGTGCAGCAGTCCACCAGGGCAAGGGGAACTCAAAACATTCTCGAGCTTCCAACCAACTCAGCATCCCTGATTCTTGAACAAGCATTTTCAATACCAACAGTGACATAGAAAGCAGCAGCAATAGCAGCAGCAGTAACAAGCCATACCTGCGGCCCAGAGTCAGGAGTGTTGAATTGTTCCACGGTCTGATGGCGATTCTTTAGGCTCACACTAGAAAACCAGCCATGACAAAACAGCACATGATTGACATCCACTGGAATTGGTTAACTATGTGACCACGTTAAAATGAAGCTGGGCAGATCACTCAGCACATCCAGCATGCTCCCAGTACATCGCTCAGAACCAGCGACCAAACAATGTAGATGGATAGCAGGTTTTCCTAAACCAGCAAAGAACTCAAAAATTCGCAGACAAAACAAAAAATATAATACGTGACTGTAATCTAAAGCTATGCGTATTCTTTAAAAAAAAACCCAGACTACACACAACACAGCGTATCCTTGCATCTAGGAGGGGCCTACAAAGTACAAACAGTGCAATTCTGACACCACTATCCGAGTACATAACGCGAGTACCTACAGCCTACCTTCCATCAATGCGACAGTGTGAGAATCCACGTTCATCCAAGTGATGTGCTACAATGTCCAGCATGCTTGTCCACTGTGACACAATAACACTGTGAACACATGTACACAGTACAAGAGATGGATAAATAAATAAATAGACAGATGGCTTTGGGAATTTATTTTTCATTGCTATCAGGTTTGGCCTCATTTCCTCCGTGCTGCGCTGATGAGTCCACAAAAAAACGAAACAGTTCTGTCCGCAGATTGAGTAAATAGACAGATACAAAGATAGATAGATGTAGTAGCTGAGCACTCTCATGTGGAGTAGTGCCCTTGCTGTTTGCGTTATGCAAAGCTCACTGACTGGTCAGTTTGAGCACTGTCAATGTACTTTCAGGCCTAGTTTAAATCTGGCCTTGTAAAATTTATTTTTCATTGCTATCAGGTTCGGCCTCATTTTCTCTGTGCTGCGCTGACGAGTCCACAAAGGACGAAACAGTTCTGACTACAGATTGAGTAGATAGGTAGATAGATTGATAGATAGATACATGTAGATAGATAGAGAGAGAGAGAGAGAAAGAATGATAGAGATAGATAGATAGAGAGAGAGAGAGACGAACACACGGATGCACAAACACACACACACGCACATTAGCAGAGACCAAAGCATACACAAGACATAGGAACTACATTACGGCAACATCAATCGTATTGTGCCCCTCAACAACAATTGTACCTTTTTGTGGGTCGAGCTGGATCGGATGCAAGCGATAGCTCTTCAAGCTTCTTCAGAAGTGTTCCAACCTGTTGTGAAGACGAACAATAAACCACTTGATGTAGTGCAACTACAAAGCAAAAACAACCCCTCATTGAGGATAGTATACAATAGCTGACATTACTAGGCAAGGGTCAACAAATAGGATAAACCTGAAGTAAATTACACTGTATATTTAAAGGGGCTGCACCTTCAAACTAACACAACTCACAACTCTGAAACACACACACACATACGGGTGCACAAGTACACATGCCCTCCCTTACCTTGGTGCTGGGGTTTGTTGTCACAAAGCAGCCAGGCTGGTTGGATTCGCTAACCCCCTGCAGCAACTCTTCACTAACTAGAGACATGTCAGCCATCTGTTTCTCAAGAGAACCCAGCTCTAGCTTGTCATCGTCATCCTTCTCCGCATTCTGAAATGGAACACAAGGCAGAAAACGACAATGAAAGTTCTCTCTACATAAAACAAGGAAAATAAATGTTACAAAGATGAGAAAGTCTACCAGGCAACATCAAACCTTGGCAGTCACTGCATAGCGCACACAGTGCATGCAGTGTAAAGATAGTGATTGCAGCATTGTTATCTTCCTTAACAGGCGCGTAGCACCGCCATTGGAGGTGGTCCGGTTGGAGGGGGTCTGGGGGTGTCCCCCAGGAAAATTTTTAAATTAGGGTGCAAAATCCTGCATTGTGGGCCCTTCTGGGCGGAAAAGTGGTCCGGCCAAAGCCTGACCGGCCGGACTGGCTGCTACGCCCCTGTCCTACCCACATAAACCAGTCTAGTGACGTGCAACAACAAAAGCAATAATAGAAAAAGAAAAAAAGAGATATGCGTCCCCGGGTGGGCTTGAACCACCAACCTTTCGGTTAACAGCCGAACGCGCTAACCGATTGCGCCACGGAGACATTGCTGGTTCTAGCCAGCCATATCCAGATCAAAGTGGTCTCAACCCTGAGTATGAGTTCCAGTACAGTACCAAGAGTACATAACCAAGAGTGTGCAACTCGACGATCCCCAGCCCACGGCGGAATTTTTTTATGACATCAGTCTTTGGCGGCTGTTTGGCTCGCTGATGCCATCATGCGTAGCCAGAGATCAAAGTACAAAAAAATTGTACTTCGAAGTACATCACAGCTACGGTAGTCGAAGCAGAACAATGGACGATAGATCGATGTGTCCTGAACCTGGTGAACTCTCACCGTATTTACAAAAAAATGTGCGGGAAAGCATACGCACTTGATCATACTTCAGCCAAAGAATGACGCAATAAAAAAATTCCGCCGTGGGTGAACCCATCGCAGCTCGAGATAGGAGTTGCACACTCTTGGTTATGTACTCTTGACAGTACCAAGAAACCAGCCAAGAGTATCCAGCTGTGCATATGGGGTCTTTGACAGCGAAAACTCACATCAAAAATTGTCCAAAACCCACTGCATCCAACGGAGGTCAGGGTGCACACAGTATGAATCTGCCACAGATTCTGTCCACTTTCCGTCAAGGAATTCTATTTTTACTCTTCTATTGCTTACTTAAATCGAACCGCACACATACAACGTGAACACTGCACCACACGATGTGACTTTTTTTGCAATTGGTGAATCCCATAGCAAATCCATGTAGAGTCGATGACTCCTGCCTCACTCTTGGTGATACACACAATGGCACATCGCTCCAACTCCTTGGGAAGAGTGTAGTGCTGCCTAGCCTGGCCAGCATGTAAGGGCAACGTCAGAAACGTCATATTATTGGCCGACCAGCACAAGTTAAGAAGATAGACAACGTACCTGCACAAGCAGTCCAAGGTGGCAGCAACACTGACGCAGCCGCAGCAACAGTACCAGCATGATGGACCACTGCTTCTGCTGTTGCTTCACGAACGACTTGATCTTCTTCAGCACCACCTCCTCCATATACTTGGCCACGTGATCGTCCTCCGCAGGGACGGCGGCGGCGGTGGCTGGATCAAGAAGACTGGTATCCTTGAGCGGACGATACGTACCACGACCAGTAGCAGCTGCATTCTCATTGGACTGGGTGATACACGCAGCCACAGCGGACCTAGCGTAAACCAGCACAGCAACAAAAGCATGAACCAAACAACGGCATACAGTACTTTATGCTCACAGAGCGGGAACAAGAACAAGAACAACACAAACAACAATGCAAACAGTAACAATGGCGACAAGAACAACCCGCGTAAATGAAGATCTTGGTTGCGTTTGATTTCCATGGACCATGCCGTCAGCAGACAAGCACCCACAAGCCAGTGGAATACAAGAGTCAGCGTTGTGTGTGAACAATGGAAGGAAAGCGGGGTAATTGAAGCAATGGAGTGCAGAAATGAGGGAAGACGCCAAACTACATTGCGTACCGTGACAGCTGAAATAGTGAATCATATGCAACACGCTCCTCGTCACCAAGCCTGAGTTCATACGTCTTGATCTCCTTCTTGGGAAGAGAGATCTGACACAACACAACAGGAACAAAAGAAAGAAAAAATCGTACTATTATTCGAAAGTCTGGACTCGTATCCAATTACATGTACTCGTGTTTCCCAAATTGTACATGTAAGTCGCACCCCCATTTTCAGGACTCTCATATCATTTCAATAGGTTCACTTCAGCAGTAAGTTGTGCTCGATTGTAAGTTGCAGCCTGGAGCCTATTGTAAAAAGATGCAATGGGGGAAATACGGAACCCAGTCAACAACTACATGCACTCACACAAGAAGAAACTGCATTCGGGCACTACGAGCACTGGTACTCAACACTATCAGGTTGTAAGAAGTTGTCCAAGACACAAATTTAAAAAAGTTCGCTGTGGGCAGCCATACCAGGTTTTTCGTGCGGCGCAGCAATAAAGCTTTCATCACAGTGTTGAGCCTGGAAATGCGGTCCCCTGTGAGCGAACAAAGAATGGCACACAGGCACATGCAGTGTTCAGCACCTCTAATCATAGCCATAGAGCCACAGATTAGGGTCTTACTGACCAAGTCCAACAAGAGAAATGAGAACCGTCGTTCATCCCAGGAATACACTTGGTGACATCATCATACGTAGAGGGTGGCAAGTTGATGGATATTGTAAATTCATCATGGAAAAATGATTGAAAGGTGCATCTGATGGTCACCACCCAGACAAGCAATGCTCGGTCTGGCAGCCGAAAGTTCTCGCCTAGCTCAGCATCTAGTTCATTGTTTTCTTTCGTAGCAGTCCAGCTGCAGTTCGTACCTGTACTGTTGGTGGGTGTTGAAGGGACAATGTATTGACGGGCACAGAGCTTGATTAGATATTCCAGTCACATGTCAAACTTACGATCTTTTCCAGTCATGTGCTTCCACACCTTCAAGTCATCAAACGGGCTACAACGCAGGAATCTGCACAAAGCAGAAAAGGACACGAGGTTTGTTCAGCGATCAGCACACATTTTCACTCCCCCCCCCCCCCCCCCCCCCTCATACAGTATGCTCACATATGATGCGCTCACTCTCCTAGCCAACACACCTGCTTCACATACACAGGCTCCAACGGTGCCCCAACAAGGCAGAAGTATAGGATTTACCGTCACGCACAATGTCAAACATGACTAAAGTTACCTAACCTAACTAAACCCTGTAGTAAGATACACATACACAGCTAAATCTACATGCACAGGCAGGATAATACACCTTATCAAAGTAGCAGCAGCAGCAGGAGAAGGAGAAGCAGCAGCAGTGGAGCACTGTCCTCAAGACCAAGCAGGTCAAACGCTCTCAGAAATGGTGGTGTGTACACGCGGAGCCTGTGCACGCCGTCCCAGTGCATTGCATGGCATAGCTGCTGTACACACAGCCCCAGTGTTGCATGGCATAGCGGAAGAACGGCAACACAAAGTGAGATTGGATCCTGGAAGGTAGGACACCTACTTCAATAAACTGTACATATCCATCAGGTCGTTCTGAATTGGGGTACCGGATAGTGCCCAGCGACAATCTACACATGTACACACACACACCACCACCACACACACACACCACCACCACCACCACACACACACACCACCACCACCACCACCACACGCACATCATACACACACACACATACACACACACACATACACACACACGTACACACACAGGATACACACTTAGAAATAAGAAGCTATAAACACGGGGAAGGTTATGTCGGTGGGTAAGTGAGAGATAGGAGTGTTGCAAACTGCACTTGGCTGCATGGACACATGCAGGGCCGTAGCACAGGGATGTCAGGTGATCCGGCCAAAACGAATACTTCGCCGGAAATGATCTGTATTCACGAAAACACCCTTTTGCATGAATCTGGTGGGTCAACTTTTCAGACCAGCTGGACTGGGTGCTACAGCCCCGACGTGTGTGAGTGTGTGTGTGCGTGGGGAGGGGGAAGATAAATACAGAAAGAAAAATACAGCAACAGCATTTCAACAACAGCAAAAAAGCATCGGAGTCACTGCGCTTACCAGCATCAAGCTCACAGACACTTTTCGACGCAGAGGTCTTATAATTGCGGATCTCGTGTGCTTCATCCAGCACCAGCCTGCACCAATGTGCCTAGGTCCAGAAAAGGAAAATGTGGAAGAAACAACAGAAGGTTTAAATATAGAGATGGCAAAGAATGAACACACAGTCATTGTATAACGTCAAAACAAGCCAGTTAGTTACATGAATAAAAAGAGCTTGTCAATCACACACGTACACACGTACACGTATACACACACACACACTTGTATTTCGGAATGAATACCCCCAGTACACGAGAAAACAGACCAGAGCAAACTAAGCTGCAATGATACTAACATTGAACAGTGGCCAGTCTCCCTTTCCTTTGCTGGCTTTCTTCGGTTTCTTGGTGGTCTTTTTGGAGAGGCTGAAGTCAGAATCATCATCGCCGCCATCTTCCTCATCGCTGCTGTCTTCATCCTTCTTGAAGGTAGCTCCACAAACTGCAGCGTACTCACTCCTCACCACACCATAAGTAGTCAACACGATGTCTTGCTGGAGAAGTCTGTTGAGAAGCAGATTGGACAGCAAGTACATGTAAACCATTCAAGGTCCAAAGCCACTGCTGAAGGCTGGGTCCTTCACATCAAATAGGAATCAGAGCAATCGTTAAATTAGTATTGTTTGGGTCAATTCCATCCGCTGAGATCAAACTACCGGGTAGTACAAGTAGAACCAATCTTTCTAGTTTCTACCCCGCCAAACTCTGCCAAACTCTGACTGCTGAGCCAACACTCAAATCTGTATTGAGGAGAATCGAAAAAAAAAGTTGTTTAGGCGGGAGGGGAGAAGAGGAGACAGAGGGGGGGGGGGGGGGGGGGGCTGAGAGCATGTCTCCTGCACATGAAATGACATGGCAAAACAGAAGAACAACAGTTACTAAACCAAACAATGCTACTCACAGGTCAGAGCTCTTGGTACGATTGGGCCCATGATGCAAGTGCACCTTCAGGCTGCCACGCTTGAAGCGCTTCTCTGTCTCAGCATTCCACTGCATGATGATGGACGCCGGAACAACGATTAGCGTGGACGTGCGTGAGTCTCGGCCACTCTTAATCGCACGACTAGTCTGGCCACTGCTTTTGCCGCTTGCGGAGTCGACAAAGTCATCGTCACTGCACTCCTCGCTATCATCACTGGTGTCATTGTCGTCACCCGTAGCATCGCCGTGCTGTTTGGAATTCACTGCCTTGACCGCTGCCTTTGCATCGTTTACACGGTCCTCCTTGCACTTCATCACGTGAGAGAGCATTGTGAGCGTCTTACCAAGACCCATGTCATCGGCTGAGTACACACACACACACAAACATATGCACACGTGCGCATGCACGCACACAAGAAAATAAATAACGAGCAGGATGTTGTACCGTTTTCGCAACAATGGTTGGGATTGGTGGTCGTGACTCGTGAGTACAGGGCGTACAATGCCAAGCACCTGTTCTGCACCTGCGAGGGCAGGACGAATACAAGTGATAAGTTAGGTTCAACCCCTTTCTCACTTTAGCACTGAACAGTAATAGCTCATGGAGCACCAGAACATACAATCATCAGTGGACGGGTCCATTCAAGCCTACCACCTGAATTGGAATCCATTCCCGATACCTCTATCTGCCAGCCAAGCAAAAATCAGACTTCAGCAGCCTCACTGTGTGTCAAGACATGCTCAACCACCCAAACTAACCCAGGATTCCGCCGTGCGGTTTCTGCTGCTCGCGCCAGCTCAGCCAAGCCAGGCCATGCTTTTGATGCGGCAGTAGCGTCACGTTCTGCAGGCCCACTGGGTCACTGACTTGGACAGTGGGTGCGGGCACTGACTCATGTTGCCTGCGGCAGAAAATAACGATGGTCGAGCGTTAGGGTACAGCAAAAGAGACTAGCACCATGACATACCAATGCAAAACGATGCTCACAGCCTTTGTACTCAACCAAGAGTGATGCATGTCCATGAAACCTATCAGATGTTTCGTCTCGATATGTTGACTTGACACATGTAAGTCAAAGAACTCTACCAGAATACAGAATATGACCGACAATGTAATCACGGACACAGAGCCCTATCAAAGTCACGAGTATATCGCTTGGATGTTTCACACAGCTTGGCAGTCATCGCCATAGCACTACGGCATTGTGATGTGAAGACAAGGCAACGGCGGATATCCTTACTGATGGAGAACTTCCAAGACCTGGCGGGTCAGACGATTGGTAGCGTACACGTCAAGGCGCTTTGTGCCCTCAATGTAGACATTAGCTGATGGCATTGCAATAGGAATTGCTGCGTGCTGTGAGCAAGAAACAGGCACAAACAGAACCAGAACCAGAACCAGACACAAGAAAATATTTTCATATTGAAATACAGTGTGGGAGTGAAAGAAGTGAAAAAGTTGACAGAATTTCTGATATGATTGTTTGGATATTCATGTACATGCGCACACAACTTGGCCAAGCCTGCATGGTTTCTAGAGAATTTTCATTGATTGACTCACACATGCGTAGCGGAGTGTATTTAGTTTAGGGCCGGGTTCCAGTGCGGCTTCGCGGCACTTGGCTGCATGCAGCGGAGCGGCGCGGTTCCACTGACACTCGCCATTTGCGGTACCGGGGTCGTGCTCCACATTTTTTGATGACGTTTTGCCTGCCTGCGCGCGCGCGCGCGCGAAATCAAAATAATCCTCGTGTTCTGGCCTGCGCAACAAATTAAAATTTGAATATTAACGCGTACAAGACAATGCAAAGTACGGGAAACAGGTCGAGCCGCGACCGCGGCTCGCAGTTTTTGATCAAGAATCGTAGCGAAAGCTCGCGGTGAGCCGCGGCCTCGCTGCTCCAGCTCGAGCCGCGGTCCCTATGGTAATGATGATGTTTTAAGCCGCGAAAGACGAGCAGCGGAGCAGCAGTGGAACCCGGCCCTTAGAAACCAAGTGCTCAGCACCCCACCCGACCTGTTTGCATGGGGCTCACAAAGGAATAACAGCATGTACCTAACATTAAAAGGCCGCCCCCCCCTGAAGGTGGAATGCACGTAATAGTGTGGTCTTACCTTGACAGCCGCACTGCCACCACGCGACGCCATGGGCTCTGCTGCATACGCCCTGGCGGCAATGCTTTGAGCAGAAGTGGTCACGGCGAAACCGGAGATCTTTGGCTGAGCACCTGCAGCAGTGCTGCCAGCACTAGCTACACTATCACTGCTGCCACCGCGGTGGGCAGTAAACGAGTGAGCACTGGCCGGTCGAGATTGACCGTGCTTGGAGTGAGAAGACGATGCGGCATCTCCTGAATGCGAGGGTGGCGGTGCCTGTGACAACACGTGTCCAGCGAATGGCCGAGCACTGCCTCCACCACGGCCATGCTGCTTGTAACCCTGCTGCTGGGAGTATCCGTGAGAATACGACTTGCCAGATTGATATCCGGATGTGTCACCACTGGCTGTTGCAGCTGATCCAGGACGAACGGAGGTGTAATGGGATGGATAGCTGGTGGTTCCATGACTACTCTGATCGTGTAAAGAGCGATGGCTAGCACTGGGGTGTGGCAAACCAACAGGATGCTGCTGCTGCGGTTGTTGATGATGCCGATGTTGTTGGTAAGACTGATGCTGTTTCTGCTGGTATTGGCGATGTTGCTGCTGGTGAGGCTGATGTTGAGTTTGTTGCTGCTGGAAAGACTGATGTTGCTGCTGCTGGTGGTGAGGCTGGTGCTGATGCGGTCTCTGTTGGTATTGGGGTTGTTGTTGCTGCTGCTGCTGCTGCTGCTGCCGCTGAGGCTGGCTTTGCGGCCGCTGCGTTTGGTGGGGCTGTTGTTGCTGCTGTTGCTGTTGGGATTGGACAGAAGCATGAGTACTAGCTTGTGTTGCAGCACTACTCACTGACTGTCCCTGCAAGGACTGTCCCTGTCCTGATAATCCCGTACGTGCAGGAGCTGAAGCACTTGAAGATCCACCCTTACTTTGCAGTCTGGATGCACCATTGTCACCATCATCATCACTGATCACCACAACATGCGACGTTGTGGGCCTAGCAGTGTTGGCAAGTGGAGGTGACACATTGACACTTTTTGACTGCTGCTGCCCTGGCCTAAACGACTGACTTGCTTGCTGCGACTGCTGCTGCCCTGGCCTAAACGACTGGCTTGCTTGCTGCGACTGCTGCTGCCCTGGCCTAACCGACTGACTTGCTTGCTGCGACTGCTGCTGCTGTGCGGAGTGGGAAGGTGGACTCTTGGACTGAGGTTGTTGCTGCCGCTGCTGCTGTTGCTGCGCTTGTTGCTGCTGACGCTGTTGCTGTTGTTGTTGTTGCACCTGTTGCTGTTGCTGTTGCTGATGTGCAGAGTGCGAGGATGGACTCTTGGACTGAGGCTTTTGCTGCAGTGCAACATTCTCCTTGCCAACACCTTGCGCCGGGGATGACTGAGCACTTGAGCTCTGCACCACATCATACCACAGGTTACCACACACACACACACACACACACACACACACACACACACACACACACACACACACACACACACACACGTGCACACACACACACACACACGTGCACACACACACGCACACACACAAAGCCACACACACACGCCCACGCCCACGCACGGCAAACAGCTGAATCACAACTACAAGGTTAAAACTCTATTGTCCTGACAAGGCTCTGTGTGAATTCGCATTGAGCCTTCATTGACAGTACAATTGTTTTTTACTGTGACACTGAACAATAAGCCAACCTTATGCCAACAATGTGTCAATATGCCAACCATACGACAACAGTGTGTCAATATGCCAACAGTGTCAACCACACATCAATGCGAACAGGCTACCATTCATTTACCTTGCAGCCAGGGACGCGTACAAAGCGGCTACCACACCAGCTCTGTCCCTGAACTCGCTCCTTGCAACGATAGTACTGCCTACAGCAGACAGCAGTTATAGAAGTAGAAGAAAACACTTGATGAGCGCCAAGTTTGAAAACTTCGTTATAATAATAACGAAGCTGGTTTTGATTTTTATGGTCTCCCTTAGAATGGTTAAGTCTCCCTGATCCGTCTTCTCCTTCGAAGACAAATACTGCGCCAAATAGTACCTTCTTGCTATGCGATGCTGGGTACCACATAACCGTATATACATGTACAATTGTATCAAATCTTCTGAAAACACTAACTCAAAAGTCTTCGACACAGTGAAGCTGCTCCACTGTAGCAATTAGGCGTTCCCCTCAATGAAGCAAGGTAACGGAGCAAGCACTCGAGCATTGCTTTTCTTCATACCTTCCAGTAGTCCCAATTTCGAACATACTAGTCCCAGTGGGTATTTGTAAAGAAAGACCATTACTAGTATGTGAATAACGTTAATAATGGGATTCAACCACCGCACACTACACAATGCCATGCTGCACATATCTTACTTGGAAACTCCATCGCATGGCTTACTTGCCGCTTGCAGCTCAATCATGGAAGTATGCGATGGACATGTTTCCGCTGGCACTCTACCAGACACATCACAAGGAGCATACGCAGCATGAATGATTACGGTAGGTATGACCAACCCCGACAAGTTTGAAAGAGATCCGGACAGAATAAACCAGCATGCCCAACAACAACAAAAAGACCAAAACGGCAGGGATTTCACTTGACGTGCAAATTCCCTTGCAGGACATCGACATCATGACTGTAAGTAACCCCCGATAGTGTGCACGTGCCTGTACTTTCTCTATCCAGTCTAAAGATGGCAGCGTTTCACATCGCTTCACCAGGGTGCACCTGCGTTCAACAGGTTATTTGAGCAAACAGTGCAAAGTCGTACAGAGAGTTGTACCCAAAGCAGGATTGTGTGTAGCTATCATGTACTTTGAGTGCCAGATGCAGGCGACATGCACAGATTCGTCACATGATGTGAAATCCAGCCGCCGTCACCGACCCCCACAGACCCCAGTTGCTCAGTCTTGGTCAGTATGCACAATCAATATACTTACAAATAGTAATGTACTAACGTGTGCATCTCCCTAATCAATAATGGACACCTCATGGAAAGGCACATTGTTAAGAAACCACCACAGCAGTTGTAAACATATAGACGTGTAGCATAACCCTGGTTAATCCAGTACATACATTGCTACTTGTAGGCACACCAACTATGCCTCTTTCACTACTAAATACGACCAGTTGGCTGAAAAGTGGCCTGGCCAATGCCGGACTGACTACTATACCCCTTAGACACCAAAGGTACCGTATATCCACCCCCTTCTTAGAGGAAAAATGGGCAAAACATCACATTGAGATTTATTCAGTTGGTACGAAATTGCGATGAATACAATGCTTGGAGCATAAGCCACAAGGGCCGTTTATGGCGAGATTTTTGTGTGAAGAAAGTGCGGCTCGGACACCTGAAAGTACAGTACCCGGCTTTTCCTCGCAGAACAGCAGAAAAAAGCGTAGTGCAAGGTACCGTATATCCACCCCCTTCTTAGAGGAAAAATGGGCAAAACATCACATTGAGATTTATTCAGTTGGTACGAAATTGCCAAGAGCAACTGGGACTTATGACAGGGACAGACAGAACATACTACGTACTGTAATCTCTGTTCGAAAGGACACCGGTCGTTGGCGTTTGGGCACAGCAGGAATGAAACGCCCTTTGAAGGCCCTTCACGCACACCCGTCTTGATATAACATAGGTCACCTGCACGTCACAACAACAACGACGGATCAACACACAAACTGTACGTGTGATTATGAAGTCCAAGGAGATAGTTTGGAGAGTTTCAACACATTCTTATGAAGACTAGAGCACTGACCGACAAACCCAAATGTACAGTTAGGATCTAAAACTGACTTTATACATCAGCAAACTCAGTCCAAAAAAAGTTGGTGGTCAGTTGCCACATGTCTACAGTCGTAGCGTTATGAATTTCGATCACAATAAGCAGATCACAGGCACCACTATGAGCCGTCTACATGTATATCAGGGATGACTATTATAAATTAGTCAACCTCTTTCCAAGCAAATGAAACCAGTGACATTTGTAAATGTTCCCCTACATCAGCCATCACGTCGTAAACGCCATGAAATCGGACTGAGCCCAGACACATAACGGTATTGGGAGAGAGATCAGCACTCACTGCTCACTGGTTGACAATTTTTTTACCCGATACCAGCAGATGCACCCATGAAGACACAAAATCATTGCTTGTCTGAAGCAGCCTGGTTTTCTACACAATTAATTTATTTGAGCATCAAGCACACACACTCACTCACCATGGCCCGAACATCGAACGTTCGGGTGCTCGCCTGTAACTGTTACGTCGCTCATGGCTGCGCCAATCTTGCTTAGATCAACACCTGGGATTCAGTGGGAAGCAAAGGACATACCGGTGACTACAAGAGTTCGCTGAAGTTAGTGAAATGATTGTCGAGTCGGAGTAGTTTGAAAATGACTGGACTTTGAAAAATGGAAATGAGAAGTAAATTTAGTTCAGAGCAGGATGCATCGACCACGACACGTGCGTGGCTTGTTTTTGAATTCTGGCGCTACATATCCATGGATGCACGCCACTCACGCGTGACCATGGTGACCTACTGTACTCCTAGATCCTGACTCGAGACTGCAGCCTGTGGTAGTGTGGACAGTTCAGTGTTGACTGTTGTCGTTCTGTCCAGTGTCTGCACTTGCCACTGCCAGTCTGTGCACTGGTTCAGATCTACCGTCCTCGTCATCATGGTCATAGTCCTACCTCCACGCCCCCCCTCCCCCACGGTCTGGTCCGGTCCACCCGACTCCACCGGTGCACCGACCGTGGTATCGCTGATGAGCTCTGCAGCCAGGAGCGAAACAGTAGCTGAGCCTGTCAGAGTTAAAGGGGAAGTTAAGGCAAAAATTAAAATTTCACCAGTTGTAGTCTTCGGGGTGCTGAGTCGAATGGTCGTGGTCCGAGGAAGCTGAGACGCTCCCTTCCTACTTGAATCCCAATCGAACTCGCGCACTTCCACCGAAACTGGGTGACTGCGCCCTACGAGATGGGGATTTGTATGCAAAATGTCACTAAAAGCGCCATTTCGTTCTTATAAAAGCACGGATGACCGCGATTGACCCATATGTTGTAGTCTTTTGGACGCTGAGTCGACTGGTTTCGGTCCGAAAAGGCTGCGATGCAGCGTTCCGCCTTTATTCCCAATCGAACATGGTTGAACAAGCGGTCACGTGCTCCTGCGTACGCCAGTCACCTGGTCACCGTGCCTGCAGGGTACAACTTACTAGCCGGTTTGACCTTTTTTTTGGGTGCAGTCCTGTCACTCGAGTTGAACTCGAGTTGACCCTGGCCTTGGTGTGAAAGTTGTCACCTGCTGGCGTGGTGACCAGGTGATTTGGGCACCCAGGAGCACGTGACCACTTGTTCAACCATGTTCGATTGGGAATAAAGGAGGAACGCTGCATCGCAGCCTTTTCGGACCAAAACCAGTCGACTCAGCGTCCAAAAGACTACAACATATGGGCCAATCGCGGTCATCCGTGCTTTTATAAGAACGAAATGGCGCTTTTAGTGACATTTTGCATACAAATCCCCATCTCGTAGGGCGCAGTCACCCAGTTTCGGTGGAAGTGCGCGAGTTCGATTGGGATTCAAGTAGGAAGGGAGCGTCTCAGCTTCCTCGGACCAAGGCCATATAAGGCCCCCATGAAGAGAACACACCACCGAAAATATTCCCGGAGTGCCCCTTTAAGTCCTGTATTCATTATAGCCTTTATATAGGGTCCGGCGGATTGCCGTGTCATGTCGGTTCGAGCTCTCACCATCGCCTGGCCAACATCTGCAGCAAGCACCACGCAAACATTTCCCTTACCGCTATCGTCATGTCCCCTCTCACTGCTGGGACTCTCTTAATTCCGATCTCTCTCATTGTGACTGGTCATTTCTACGCCCAGGCAATTCCCCAACTGTTGACGACGCAGTCGATCGATTTTCAATCGTCCTGGAACAAACCTTCCAGCACCACCTCGCTGATTTTTCCACCCATTCTTGTCGGTCAAACACACGCACATCGTCTGTGACATCCAATCCACCCTGGGTGTCGACTGTCCTCGTATCTGCGGTGAAACGTAAACGAGACCTCTTCAGTGTCAGCCGAAAATTTCCAACACCTGTCAATATGGAGGCCTACCGAGTTCAACGCCACTTTGTCAAATACCTATCCCGTAAAACCTACCGCTCTTACATCAGCTCCCTCTCTGCAACAATCTCATCACCCAATCGTCCTTCTCTCTATCAGTTCATTCGCACCCAGCGTCCCAGTGTCTCTCGCGCCCCAATCCAATGCTTGATTGATCCTGATGGCAACAGTCAGTCTGAGGCAAAGTTCATTGCGGACACTCTGAACAAACAGTTTGTCTCTCCCGGACTTCCCGACGATCCGAACTGGGTTATCCCGCCCCTGCACCCAGCTCCAGAGCTGCGCGCTCCACTTCTGGAGGTCTTTACAACAACTGGTGTGGTCCGCAAACAACTGAAACGTCTTAAGAGCTGCAAGTCTCCTGGAAAAGACGGTATTCCAAATGAAGTCCTTAAACTGCTGGTGCCTTCCTTGTCGTATCCCCTGTGCTTGCTCTTCAACTTGTCATATCGTGCAGGAGTCTTCCCATCTGCGTGGAAATCTGCTATTGTTGTCCCGATATTTAAGAAAGGACAACGCTCCCAAGCTGTTAATTACAGGCCCATCTCCCTCCTACCAACTATATCCAAGGTCTGTGAACGCATCTTCTATGAATCTCTCTACCACCATGTCACCCCTGCCCTCTCCTCTGCACAATCCGGCTTCTGTCGTGGCGACTCAACTACTTTGCAATTGACACGCTTAATCCAGGATATTTACGGACATCGTAACCCGAAGAAGCATGTAGGTCTTGTCTTTTTTGATCTGTCAAAAGCGTTCGATACAGTCTGGCATCGAGGCCTACTTGCAAAGCTTGAGTACATTTCTCTAGTACGTGGTACAGCTCTGCAGTGGCTGTCGTCATATTTGTCGTCCCGTCATCAAACTGTCCGTGTCTCTGCTTCCTTGTCCGATCCTTTACCTGTAGTGTCTGGTGTTCCACAGGGGTCCATACTGGGTCCACTCCTTTTCCTAACTTATGTGAACGATCTGCCCTCTCTAGTTCCAGACGTCAGCCTTTTTGCTGATGACACTGCACTGTTGTGCTCTGACAGCTTGCCGTCCAACCTCGTTACCTCCATGCAGACCGGCATTAACTCCACCATAGCATGGATGGAAGCTTGGAAGCTGAGGCCCAACATCGCGAAGACCGAAGCAATGTTCATCAGCCCATCGCCGCCTACTCAGCCGTTGCACTTTCCAGGAGCCAATGCTAACGTTAAAATTGTTCATGAACACAAACACCTTGGTGTTATATTCGACAGCCATATGTCCTGGTCCCCACAGGTCCAGTCAGTATGCAAGCGAGCTAGCTCCTCCCTTGGCATGTTGCAACCTCACTGCCACCATTTAAATGACCATTGCCGAAAATTGTTCTTTACGTCGTATATTCTACCTATATTTGATTACTGTGACACAGCGTGGTGCGGTCTGTCTCAGGCCCTTGTCCAAACTCTGGAAATACACCAGCGTCTGCTTCTAAAAATCCTGTTTCGCAAAAATCAAACATTCTCCTCCCAACGTCTCTACAGTTTAGCTTCAGTATCTCCCCTCTTAGAGCGACACCAGCAACATCTTTGCATCCTTGTACACATGATCTTATTAGACCTGGCTCCAAAACACTTTGCTAAGTATAACTGGTTTGTGTCCACCAGATCAACACGTCATTCCTTCTCATTACCCCGTGCCAATACCTCCCTGTTTCTGAAATCTCCTATCTTCTCTGCGTACACTCTCTAGTCTTCCCTGCCAACTAGCCTTAAAGCATGCACAGACATTAAGGAGTTCAAGCTTCAGCTTCTTCGTCCTAAATAATCTCACCATTTTCATCATGCCTCCCCTTGCAGTACTCTCTTTGTTTCTCTCCTTATTATTCAGTTCGCCGTGGTTGGCTACCACCCGACTTCTCATATATATTGGCAGTCTTCTGACGAGCCAGGAGATGTTGAATTAATAATAATAATAATAATTCTGCCGGCAGAAAAATTGGCAGAATTCGGTACTTTTTCTGGTAAGTTTCATGTATGTTTGGTACACGAGTCACAGGAAAACCACGCGTCTTGATTGTCGTAACTTCAGTTGTCTGAAGATTGCTATATGGCATGAAACTTTAAGTTACGACAATCAAGACGCGTGGTTTTCCTGTGACTCGTGTGTTACTGCTCTGCTTCCGCATTGAGCACTCTATCGATCCGGAGGACTCCGCTATTTGTATGTTTGGTATGTGGATAAAAAAATGGAGCAGAATTCGAGTAATTGCCTGCCATAAGGTTTGTATTGTTCTGCCAATTTCACTGCTTTTCGAGCAGAATCTGCCACCGTTTTTCGAGCAGAATCCGCCGGTCCCTAGTATTCAATCTTCCCTCCGGTCATGTTCAGTTTTGCTAATATACATGTACAATTATTGTAATAATACCTGGGAGGTGGTGTGCATTGTGCAAGTACCGGTAAAATTTAATGGAGTTGCTCAGTGCCCCCCGGACCTGTGAAGAGTGAAATCTGGTACTGTGGTAAAGCTGTAGTGGGTTTAGTACTGTAGTTCCACGGCCGGGCTGTGTTACAATCTCAGACTGAGTTCTTTCCTCCATCCCACCTTCATGGCATTGAACATAGGGTGTGGCCATGCCGGTCCTGCTGCAGCCTGAGAACTACAACAGGTGCACAGCAGAGGACTGCAGTGACACAATGTTTACATCCAACGTCACAGTGGCTCAGCTAGGTTCCTTTGAGGATGGCCAAATCTGACTAGTTTAATTGCGGGAAGGGTTAACGCTTTGATGGCTATTTGTTTTTATAGGAGTTGTCAGTGGATCGAGCAGCAGTGGGAGCGGATACCAAGTGCCTAGATTGACATGATGAATAACACTTGTTGTAGAAGCTATAGAAGAGCAGCAGAAATGACAGCATGTAGAGCATGACAAATATGGCAAAGTTGCGCGGATAGCCGCAGTTCAAAGCTGCTATGAGGCCAGAGTGGAGAATCAAGGTGGCAAACTGTACCATCTGCAGCTGGGTGAGGTAGCACTTCCACCACAGGTATGGTTTTATCCAATCGCCGAGAGATGCCAGAAAGTAATAGGCATACATGAACACGTGGACGACGCAGTTCAAAACTGGCTCATAGCTGCTGCTCCCACCGGGCATCCAGCGGGCCACAGCCCACCACACAACTGTGATTGAAGCATGGTGGTAGACATGGAGAAACGTCACCTGCGAGTTCTTCTTCCTGACGATCATGAAGATGGTGTCGGCAAACTCGATGATTTTCGAAAAGAAGTAGAGCCAGATCACACGTGCCACCCGGTAGTCAGACGGGGCTAAATCATGACCAATAGGTGCACATGAGACAGCCTGGTTGTTGGAAAATCCAGACATTGGCAACTCGACAGCCATGTAGAGGCTAAGTAAAGTCATGCCGCAGTTATAGATCTGCATAGCACGGTTGACATTCCATGCTTGGCGCTTCTCCATCAGCCGCGGCCCTATGGCGACAGCAAGCAAGTATGCAGCGACTAAGACGATCAAGACCCATGCTTGGCCAATGAGAGGCAGCTGAGCACTTCTCGGGTCAGGGCCTGGACTCCACGGAGGAGCATTCTGCTTTCCAACACCCAGCAGCAGTGCTAGAGGATGATCAGCCTCCGCGTCCATGACTGCGGCTTCGTAATTCCTCCTGAACCTTCCAAAGAGAGTTCCCCCTTTCACCAAGCAAAGCCGGACGTACCGTACACTAACCAGTTACTTGTTTGTCTTCGCTTTCACATTATAATAGTGAGAGTGCATGGTATAGGCACGCTCAGTGGAATTGGGGGACTGAATGGGCACAAACCCGCGAGTGGCCCAAGGAATATCCAGGATCTAGCCTAACACGCAGACGACGCCTTTAGCCCAAAGTCCATGAAGTGAAAACCAGTCATACACGGCTTGATACAGTCCAACAACGGAAATGACCTCCGAATTCCCAGGTTCCACGTCGCGACGTCGGTCATGCGCCAGATGCCTGTCAGTGACGTGACTTTACTTCTGCTTAGCCCACTGAGGCCAGGGAGTGCTGCTTGAAAGCACTCCCTGGTTCAGCCTGCCTACTACTAGTACTAGTACATAGGCTACAGGCTAGTACAGCTGCCACCACGGTGTGCGCTTGTCAAGACAAGACTCAAGAGTGAAGACCTGAGGTGCAGACCTTCCTCGGCTGTCAAACGTGACCTGCGACGTGGGATCACAGACACAGGCCCACAATCACTTCGACCAGCTGAGCAAATACAAGACAAGTAGATCTACGACTATTACTGTATTAGTATTAGCAAGCCTTGACCTTTGGTAGCCTATTTAGTATTTACTCTGGGTATTAGTTACTGTAAGACCAAGAGTACATAACCCCGGGGAAGGTATCCGGAGTCCCGGATAGCCTGCTCCGGCCAGCCCGAACTGAGTTCAACCCGCACAGCCAGGACCGGTACAACAAGGGCAAACGGCAACAGACTGCATGCAGCAGCAATCTTCAAACTGTTGCTGAATAAACACTTAGCCAAAGCTGAATCCACCACTCCACCTGAAAAGAATGAAAGAATGGCATAGATAGACAGTTGAGGGGAACTGTGTGAAACCTGAAAGTAAGGCTGCAGATGAGATGAATATTGTAGATCATAGATGTACAGTGATAGCTAGCGTGTAGCTGACTTGCGGTAGATCTACGTTATGACAACACCATTACACTGACTTACCGGTCACACTAATAGTAATACATTACAACAAGAATACATAACCCGGGGGTTATGTACTCTTGATTACAATCGACAACAAAATGCGATCTGAATCATCTGATGTGATATTGACACCGAGAGATTACCAAAGGAGGAATAAGTAGCCAGGGGTATCATACAATGTAGAACATGTGTGTGCCAACTAACGTGTTACTTCGACCCTGCATATATCTATACACGTCATCAAGACGGGCCATAACTGGTGGTGGTGGTGGTGGTGGTGGTGGTGGTGGTGGTGGTGGTGGTGGTGGTGGTGGTGGTGGTGGTGGTGGTGGTGGTGGTGGTGGTGGTGGTGGTGGTGGTGGGGTATGGACGCTTGGCATCATACTTCATACTAAGAGTCGGTGCCACATCATACTCTTACTCCGGGCTTCTCTACCCTTTTCAAAATCACTTTTCTTGTTCTCCCTGTCTCTCTCTTTCACCCATTTTTTTCATTTCTTTGACTACTTTCACGTGGGACATGTCCTGCAGTCATTTGCTTTGCCCTGTATTAACTGTGACCACTACATGTAGTACAGTCATACTCAACACTCACTAGTACATTAGTGCACACACTGTGCTTTACCAAATGAGACGTTTACTTTTAGAATAGGACTAACATGATCCGAGTAGCTCATTTCACGTCAACACTATACCCACTGCAGCCCTCTCAACCCTCAACAACAGCTGCGACAGCGACAACGATGACTCCGACTACGACGACGACACCGATGGTGACGACGACGACGACCGTGAAGAAGGCAGTCGAAATGCAAAAGACATGACCAAGCCCCGAGCCAGGGACCTTTGCTGGCTCGTCCAGAGCACTGCTGTATATCACGGAGATACAATGTAGATCTACTTCGAAGTAGAATATACCGTTGTACTACTCCGTAGTAGATCTACATGCAATGGGGTAGCCACGGAAGCACGCAGACCTGCGGCTGTAGCCTGTACTGCTGTAGCCAGTGTAGGCTGTAGGCGTTCTCCGATCATGCCAGCCAACATTTTTCGAGTATCCACAGCTGAAGCTTGCAAGCCCAGATAGGAGTGAAGGAAGTAGTTTCGCTGGCTGGCTGCTCAGGTAGATCTACTAGGTGCCTATACGAGTACTTCAAGTAGGTTTACCCACACGGCGGTTGTTGTTCGCACATAATTCTTCCTCCGACAGGCTGCTCGTCTAAACCGTCTGTCTCAGTCATATCTTCTGCTCAAAGGTGCCAACCGCAAACCGACTTTCTTTACACTGGAGTCTACGGACGACGGTCTGTGCGCAGAAGTCCCAGTTCGAGTACAGTAGTGGCTACATGTACAATGATTGTAGACCTGCATGAATGCCCGCGAAACCAAAATCTTTGGTGTGAACGGGCCGAGCAGGCAGGCGCACCTTGCTACCTTGTGAACTTTTCCCGCGCAGGTTGCTCGTCGACAACCTAGCTTGATGAAAAGAAAACCATGTGCTTGACTTCGCTATTCTCTTATTCTGCATGCGCTGCGCGACACCACATTTGCAGCGCTTTGTCGAAAAAGGAGCAAGACGTAGAAGCTTGTTTTCTGCTCCTCCTTCCGCAAGAACTTGAAGAAGCCCTCCCTCCCTTATTCCTCCTAAATAACTATTACTTCAAAGAACGCTCCAGGCCCCTTCTCTTCCGCACCGCGCGCGCAATGTTGACTTCACAAGGAGCGTGGCACTGTTAGCGGTAAGTCGGTACATGAGAGCTGTTTCTCTCTTTTGATACTGTCTTTCTGTGTTGTCATGCTTAGTGAAATACTTGCTGACGACGCTCTAAGTCTAACTTTACTTACCAGGCGTTGGCCTCGCTGCCAGTGCTTCCAAACACTGCTATTCAGTTATTTTTCTGTTGTTCGCTCTCACCACCAGTTTCCGCAACGTGCGTTGCTGTATTGTTTACGAATGTCCTCATTTTTCCTGACTTTTCCCGTTTCACTTCCTCAAACTTACGAATTTCCCTTTCTCGTACTTATCACTTGCTCGCAGAAGACGGCACGGCTGGTTACCAATATTTACTGCAACCTTCCGAGATGAGGAAAGCATAGACTCCGCAAATCCGCAGCAAGTTGAGTCGGTTGTTCTGACTTGCCGATGACTACACCATCATTGTCATGTTACGTTACTTTTGACGCGGAGCGTATCACGTGACAGGGGATACGTACAACGGTTATGGTGAGTTTCGCTAGAATACAGGCATAACCATGACTTCGTCCTATGGTCGGAATGCATTACAGCAGCCGTGTATCGTTGAGCAGTCACGGTGAATAGCCCTAGTCACTAAGTGTGCTAGTGTGCACCGCGTAGTTGTAATGATTGTAAGGCTGGCTCCGCTGGTATCATGGTGTGGCTTTCTGTGACTGCCTTTTTCTGCAAACCGGAATAACCTTCCTGGCGAGTACGTGCCCACTGGCACGATGAGGGTAGAATGTACCTGCACAATTATTCTTTGCCAGTTAGTGCATCCATGATCAGTAGTGTGCATGCGTGCATACGTGACTCTCTGCATGTAACTGATGCCCTGTTGACTCGAACATGATGCTAGTTCTGTACATACATACCGTTGAAATGCTGTGCCTGTCCTGTACAGTATTGTGTGGTTACACCTCACACCTCACACCAGTGTTCATGCTTTTGTGTACATCCTTGCATTGAAATTACAGAAGTCAACAGTCAACACACCTGCAGGCATATCGCATTCACCGATCACCTTCGCATCCCAGTCAAACGCCTTGCTGTACTCACCTCACATGCCTGGTGCTGCCTGGCAACTGCACAACACCCTGCACCGCCCCGCACCCGACAGGCACGGCAGAGTTCGCTATGAACATCCCTGCCATAGCCGCCGCTGATGAAAAGCTGAGCCAGGCTGGTGACCGGAATTGGAACTGCAAGCAATGTCAATGTAAGACTTCTGTACCTAAGCTGAGATTAGCGATTCTTTCCTAGACTAACATGACCCGTGTTGCCTTAGCCCGCATGTCTTGCTCTTATGAGTGCTTCATGAACTAGACCTTCATGTTTTTGCACAACAATGCTGGACAAGCTTGTGTCATCATTCATGATGATGCATAGCAGAGACTGACCAATGAAACGGATGCAGGGAGGCTACATCTACTTGTAAAACAGATTTACTAGGTCCATCCAATCCAAATCCAACGAAGGGTGTTCACTGTAAACATACAGCGGTGAATAGTATTCACCGATGTACAGTCATGCCCAAAGAAATCCTACCCAGGTGTCGAAAGCAGCACCTAGCAGCCCTCAGATCTGTTTTTGGAGCATGCATGATGTAATTGAAATGGCACCACAGCGCTACTTTTGACTCGTGGGTGGGATTCTTTAGCCACAACTGTATGTTTACAGCTGGAGCACCGTTCCAGTGCAACTTCAGTGACCTACATGTACATCCAAGGACCACGATAATCTGTACTCCATGGAGCTTTTGACTTTCAAATAGTGGACTGTGCACTCATGGTACAGGGCATAACGTTGTTCTTTGAAGTAAAAGTCGGATTTCATTGCTTTTCTTCGTATCTGATGGAAACAAGAGTGTAACTTCGGGTGCCTCATGGTACCTCGTATCAAAGGTTTACTCTAGAATTCAAGACCCTTGGTACTAACAGTTATTCTGTTTGCTGTCTGTTCACTTCTGCTGCAGAATTCAAACATGAGCCGAAGTTGCAATGCCCATGAGGATTGCAATACCCCTTCAGGCCGATGCTCTCACTCAATGGACAATTGGATAATGGACTGTGGACAATTCTCTCGTTCAACTGAATCTGGTTATACGTACCATGCACACATAGTGTCACCAGTGGCTTAGCACTCTAGATAGGTACACGCCAGGAACAGATACATGGACCATAGCCAGATGCGAACTGGCTTAGCTTAGG